ATTTATTTCATAATTGTGACATCCCTTGTTCCGTGTTAACTCTGATGGAATATGTCTTTAATCATTGATATAATTAATATTATTCGGGGTATTTTAGAAGGGGTGTTACATCTAATGCGGACAATGCAAGGTGAGAGTCTTGATTGATAGAGACATGTCTGTGTTGGTTGTTGATCATTTTTTTAAATGATCTAGGTAATCTATAGCAAAGAAAAATAAGATATCTCTAAAGTCTTCAAAGGTATTTATAAGCTTCTTCAGGGAAATATGAGTTCCAAATGTAGGGCCCATTGTTTTTGGCTTTTTTTTAAAATGATTTTTATAGTTGTATATAATTTTGTGTAAAAATATTTTACAAAGAAACTTTTTATAAAAGCTTCAAATGAAAATTTGGTTTGAATAACTATACTTAAAATGTTATTTTAGGTATTTCATCTTCTTATTGGAACTTTTTTTGGATATCAAAATTTCAAAAAATCACTTAATTTTGAAGCTATTTCAAATAGATTTTCATAAAAATCATTTTTTTTAATAAAAATGATATTCATTCATTCAAATTGATAGAATATAACAGAAAAATGCCTACAAATGTGACAAAACCTACAAATATGAAGAAATTGAAATGCTTAGAATACTCATGTCTCCGAGTCTACAGCGTTGACGACATCAAAGTCATCGATTGAATTTGCGTTGAGTCAAAAATCATTTGTCAATCTGAATCGAACAAACACCGCATCAAGAGTGAAAAACAAAATAACGTTGCAAGAAGACGACGACCAACACAGTGTCGCACTAAGACGATGAAATCACAAAGAAAAAAACTATAAATATACAAGAAATCACGTATTTGAATGCAAAGGAAAGGAAAAATATTTCAGAGGGGTGATTTTGGATCAAAAACTAACCCTAAAACCACCCCTCTTTAGTGGACGAAAATCATTTTTGAAATATAGCATTTTGAAAAATAATTGTGATTTTGACTATGTTTTGGTCTTCAATAATGTATGTTTATGTTATAGAATGTCAAAATTAGTGTTTCAATTTAGAAAAAATGAATATAAAAATACTTGTAAGATTTTGAAAAACGGTTTTGTAAAATCTATTTTTAAAAATACAAAGAAAAAATCCATTTTTTTAAAGCTGAAACAAACTATCTCGTAATGAAAGGACATGTCTGAGTTACATTACCAAGAGCAGGTCATATAGAGATGTTAACTCCAGAACCGAGGTCAATGATTCTAGAATTAAGGAAGGGACTAATGTCCAAGCAGATGTTGGAACATCATCTCTGTAGATTGATTTTAGAAAATAAGGAAGACTCTAAAGAGCTAGATGAACTGATTTAAAGAGCTCTCAAGTTAACAAAGTTCTCTCTTGAGTTTTATTTGTTTGAGACATTCTCTATAGTCAGAGATGTAATATCTAATTCTAGTTTTATGTCAATTTTATTAAAGGAGACTTTAACCGATGATGTGTGAGGATGTTTCTTCTTGGGAAACAATCGTGTCTCTTGGATCAGCAATAAGTAAATTTATGTATCCTAGTCTTTATCTAAGGCGAAGTATAACACTGTAGGGAGTTGTTTCTCTCAATTGATTTGGTTGCTAAAAGTTTACAATGTCCAACAGGATGTCATGACATTATACTGTGGCAAGTTTGTTTCACTCTGTATATTCTAGGAGATCAATCTACACAATAGGACAAAGCTCATTATTACTGGTCATTTCCTTTCCATGGGTCTTGCTACATGAAAAAATAATTTCTCCTAAGCTTGGTATGTCTGAGAAGCTCTAGGAAATATATTTACCAATACTTGAGGTGCAAGTTAGATTGAGAATATGAGGGGTGATTTGGGTATTTGCACTATTAAAGAATTATTGTAGTTACTGTCTTGGAGGATTACAATAATAGCCTCTCTCTCTTCCACCTAGTGGTGCATGTTGGGGTATCTATTGATAAGGAAATGCCATCTCATTTGTTGCAAGAATCCCCATAGTCAAAGCTTGGGAAGTAAAAAAGAAGAAAAAGGCAGTGTCCCTCTCCTATGGTGAGTGGTGCACTATTAATAAGGATGATTATCCGTTCTTTAAACACTTTCTCCTTGAGTGGCCAGATGTTACAAGCAAGGTTGTTCTCCTCATATTAAAATAAAAATTGTATTGCATCTACCTCCTCTTAAACTGTGTTTTAACATGGAAGCCAAGAAGGATAAGAATGTTGATCCAAATAAGGTTGAATCAAAGGTGGAAACACTTGTTACTTGAGCATTGGTGACAGAGAAAAAGTCTGTAATAAAGATGAAGTCCCTAAAGAAAATTCATGTTCAAATAGATGATTCGGACTCAGTGTTGATGAAGACTGGGTTGCTTATGTTGACTCAGTGGCTCATTTGAATAAGTGTTCTTGAATTCCCCTGATTTGTTCTTTGTTATTTGGATCTGTATTCCCTAACATTTTTTGTTTCCATTGTTATTTGTGTTTTCATCAAGTTTTGTGATTCCAGATTTTGTGTTTCCATTTGTTTGTCTCCATTTCTAGTGTCATTCCATTTGTGTTTATTTCTTGTGACCAATATAATTGTGTTTACATTTACTTTATTTTTTCATTTTTGGCTAAAAAGGGGGAGTAAAGATTAGTGTTTCTGTTTGTCCTAATTCCATGTCACATGTCTTGACATGTTGACTAATATTGTGATATGTCAGTACTATAGCTACGGGAAGAGTAATCTATTATGGTTGCTTGTTGTATGCAACTATTTAGGGGGGGGTATGGTATTCTTTCATGCTTGTTTGGTTCTTCTGCTACTGGTGATGTGGTTGTGTGCAAGATGTTTTACCAGATGTTTTAACATCCTGCCTGTTGTGTATTATGGAGAACCCTGGTTACTCTTTAGTAATCTATTACTCTGGTGTTCTGAGTTATTTGTGAGGCTTTTGTTGCATGTTCTTATAGTGTATGAACTTGGATAGTTCGATGTTGTTTTTCTTGTGATTTTGGTTTTCCCCTTGAAGTCCAGGTTTAGTTTTCTTGTAATTTGGGTTTTTCCCTTGAGGATGAGGATTCATTATGTGTGACAGGGGGAGTACTGGCCATGCCTATGCTTGGAGTGTTATACGACAACAATGTATCTAGAGGGGGGGGGGGGGTGAATAGATACACCTTTTAAAAATATCCAGAAAATTCTAGTTTTGAAAAAGTTGTTTTATTAAAGAGCGACGCAAAAGCTTTTTCAAAATGTCTTCTTTTACGAACGTTATTGAAAACTCGGATATGCAAACTTGATAATAAAATTCAATATGAAATAAGAACGATAGTTGAATTAATATGCTTGAATCACTTTACAGCTTATTTAACAGTTATTGCAAGTTACTAGTAAAGCTATTTCCAATGGCAATATTAAAAGAACAAGTTAAATCAATTCATCAAACACTTGGTGTGCAAGTAAATTTTCAAATTTTTCCTTGATTTGTGTTGGTATACAAAACCACTTATAATAAAAATTGATTATAAGCTATATCAACACTTAATTTAGAATCAAAAATAGTTTGAAAAATTCTTACGGTTCAATTGATAACGCAATGCTATTTGAAAAATTGATAAATGAAAATCAAAGCAAGTAAAAGCAAAAATAAAAGAGACACGAGGAATTTGTCTTCACAGTTCCCCATTGTCGTCCTCGCATGTGGGTACGTCTGCGCCTAATTCCAATGGAATTTTGATAATTCTTACTATGAAAAATATTGATACAAGAGAAGTGTTCAAGAGAAACTTCACAAACCCTAATGTTTATTGTTGATTCAACCCCTTATCCTTTTTTTATCTTGAGAAAGATCAGGACACAATAGATTCAAATTAGCTATCTGGATGTTGCTACTCATTTGCATTCCTTATCTCCAAAGCTTTCGCGCACCGTCAATTTCAAACTATTGCAACACTAGACTTCAATTGTAATCTTCTGTTCTCTCGCAACTTCCTTTGCGTAATTTATCTCTAAAGAATCCCTTGCATTCTTTATCTGCAAACGTCTTCACTTGGCCGCAATTACCTCTTGAACGTCTTTTCACCAAGACCCCTATAAAGCTCAACCCAATACTGAATTGGACACTATTGTTGCACCCCAAAATTTTCCCTCTTCATTTTTTATGGATTATGTTTCATCATATACATCATGCATTTGAGATGGGATCAAGGTACTCTTATCTTTATGGTCTTCTTCAATCTAGAAGGTTGGTTGTTTTGTTAATCAGTGCAAGAAGGGTTTCATGCCCTCCATTTGTGATGTGTTTAGGCTTCCCAGGATTTCTAGGCCTCGGGATATCTCACCGGTTCTTTGTTTCATCGGAGAATTGAGAACCACAAGTATTTTGATCTTTAATCATGTTTCTCCCATCTATTGGATCTTGTGCTAAGGTTTTTGATTATTGAATCTGTGACGTCTTTCTTGATAAAACCTCGGAAGCATTATGATCCTGGGTTTTATCTCGGTGCATGCTCAATCATCAGCAGAGGTTCATTGGACTTAATATTTTTATGGTCACTTTTATTTCCATATTTCTTAGGGTTGTTTCATTTTTCGGAGGGCTTGAGGCATTGATGTTTCGTAGACCATTGAGGCCATAGCGCAAGAGATGGTGTATGGATTCATTTTTTGATCGAGACAATCTCATCATTGTAAGTTGAAAGGAATTGAGTTAGGGGTTTATTGAAGTGGCGTGTGTATTCGGTTTTTTTTTTCATTTCTAGATTAAGCTCATGTGGATTAATTTCATTTGTTCATGGTTCAAGATTCATTTGATCTTATTTCACAAAGTCTAATTTCAAACTCAAGTTTTCAAGGTATACTTTCGTAATTCAAAATCCATACATCACCATGATTCATCAATTTTTTTAACCATTTATAAGTCCATTAAAGTTTGGTACAAATAGTGTGATCATCCAAAAACCATTACAATTCATGAAGGCATCTTATCAAAATTATTCAAATTCTACAAGTTCACAAAATGTTGCAAAGATCTTATGCTTTCAAATACACATTTTCTTTAAAAGTTTCTTTTACAAGAGCTTTCAAATTTGTAAGTCCTAAGTTTTTAGGATACAAGACTGAAATGGATCCTAATCTAAGTCCTAATATTGCTAATGAGGTATTCATCTTCACTTCTCCAAGTTCCCTCCAAGACTCATTCTTCTTCCATCTTCAAGCTCGCCATAGCCATTGCCTCAACTTCATCTTCAAATTGTTCTCTCATCCTTCTTCAAGCATTCCTCCTTGCTTTTTTCTAGCTCGTCCATCAAGTTTATGAGACAATAAAGAGAATGGGTTAGCAATTATCAAAAGCATTAAACAAGAACAAAGTATTTTCTAAGAATTTCTTTTCAAATTTCATCATTAGGATTTTGCTTAAGGAATCATATTTTAGGGTGTTTCACAAATCATGTTCACAAGTATTCAAGGCCTCATACAAATAAGAAAAGAAAAGTACCAATCATGGGCCCAAAAAATCCAATTATATTGCAAATCACAAAAATACTTTTGGTTCACAAGAGAAATTCAACAAGAAGCAAGTCATAATTACAAGTTCTGAGCCCAAATAGACAAAGTTCACAACTCAGTATTCAGAAGAAAAAAAGTCAGAATTGCATTTTCCAAGCCCAACACTTTCAATTTCTAGTTTACACAGACAACAACATATCAAAAATAAGTTCACTTATCAGGTAACAGAAGTAGATTTCTTAGCTCAATACAAAAATCAACAAAGCCTGTCAAGGAAAATCTTTGAGTCCACCAAGTAAAACCCTAAAAATCATTGGCACTATATAAGCAATCAGTGCACGAAAATCAAGGGGGATTACTTATCAACAAACCAGAGAAGCTGCGCAGCAGCAATAACACCAAAATCCTAACCCCATTTTGTTCATCATCTCCCTCAAACAACCCTTCAAAATATAAGAAAATCATACACATAAAAACAATTCAAAAAATATAAATAGAGATTCGTTCACAAAGCTATCAAGCGAACCGCACACAAACCGTAAGAACTATCATCATTTTCCACAAAAAAAAAACCCTTCAGATCAGAGAAAGAAGAAGAATAAAAGGTTTCAAATTAGAAAGATCTCACCAGAGAAGTCTCTAATGTAACATCTTCACTATCAAGAGCATAACGTCCTCATCATCCTCGCTAATTTTATCGCGATATGAGCGCTAGGGTTTCCAGAACCCCCTTCAAGATTTACACGTAACCATCAAGTTTCAGCAGAAATTAACCACATATTTGCAACAAGGATAAGGAAACAAAGCTAGTGATGTAAAACTATCAGAGATCAGAGCAAGTTACAGAGGCGCCTCCTTCAGCTTCATCATTGTCACTGTGAATATTCATGATCGTTACCGTCTAGTTCTTGAAGGACCACCGTATCAGATCACAAGCCGCAACCCTTTATTTTCTTTTTAGTGTTTTTTGTTAAACAAATATGGAGAGAGTTGAGAGAAAAGAACTGAAGAGAGAGACAAGGGTCTCATTTAGTTACAATTACTTTTAATTCTTTTGTTTTTGTTAACTTAAATTTGATTAAATCACTAATCCGGGGGTGACACTTGTCACCGCCCTTATGGCCAATGCATGATGTTATATAGGTACCTCACCAGGTCACACCGTGAAACCTTGATCTTCAGCTGTTAGATTGCCATCAGATCTACACGGATCCTCCTCAACGGATCAGACGCATGTCCCACGGTACACTTCCTGGAGCTGCAGTGCACTGGATCTCGCAGAACATTTCAGATCTCATGTGCGTCTTCTCAGAAAGCCTACGATGCACCTTCAGTCTTCAGCTCTTAGATCTAGTTCTAACACTTTCAGATGCGTTGCCCATGACACACCCCTTTCATCCACCACACTAGATCAGGCGCTGGAGCACAAGTTAGGCATGGACTTCAATTGCTATTCAGCACCCCCATTTTTTGCTTAATCCAGGACCAATCTATTTTTTCTCTATATTTTCTTTTTTTATTTACTTTTACACATATTTTTGTTATTTGTTTTATCAAATTAAAATACAAAAAAATGTTTTTATTTTAAATAATTAATTAGATTGGAAAATAATATTTATTATAATTAATTATTTTGTTAATTAATTTTATTAAATAAGACGGTTCAATTTAATTAGTTATTTAATTAATTCGATTGAGTTGTATTATTTGTTTATTTAGAATTTTAATCGTTTTGTCGATTCAATACATTCTCATTTATAAACTTGTACCCCCATTCCCATATGATTTGTAATAGCTTAAAATTTTATTTTCTTTGTTACTTCTTTATATGTTTTAATTATTTCTATCATGCATATTTTGTTCAATTAAAACACATGGCCTTCTCTTGGGCTCATCATCAATGAAAAGGTATCCACCTACAAATGCACACTTTCACACATTCATAGTTTGGTCATGGGCTTTTCTACAGTGACAACTATTCGATCGGTTGTTCCAATTAGTCATTTAGAATAATATTGTCATGCTAGTCACACTTTTAGGAGCATGCATATGGCCACCTTGTATGGGCTTTTTATTTCTATCTTATGCATTGAAGCAACTTCTCTCTCTCCTTTTGGTCCATATACCAAGCTTTTCTTAAAGGGTCTCATAGTTGAGTTTGGGCATGGCCATTCTCACGAGGTTAATCAAGTTTTTCCCTTGGTTAACCATAACCCGAATCAATTAGTTTGGTCCATATACCAAGTGTTTTCATGCACCAAAAAGGGGTCTCATAGTTTATTTTGCCATGGCCATTCTCACGAGATTAATCAAGTTTTTCCCTTGGTTAATCATAACCCAAATCAATCACTTTGGTCCATATACCAAGTGCTCCATGCAAAAAGGGTCTCATGGTTGATGGTAGGAGCACCTACTCTCACGAGATTAATTAAGTACACCCCTTGGTTAATCATAACCTGATTCAACTCCCATACACCAAGCATTCTATTTATTATGTGGACACTTATGCTATGAGATTGTGATCGATCATTGATGCAACCAGGGTATGCCTAATTGATGGTTGATTGAGGAAGTTCAAGGAGGCGTTCAATAGAGTTTTTCTTATCTCATGTGTATTGAAGAGGAAACGTACCTTCTCCGTTAGGTATCATCATACCTCTCTTTATTTATCATCCCTGCATATTGATGCATGACTGAAAGTCTTACCTTTGTAAGCATGCTTTGATTGTTTAAATGTTATCTCCTCTTCTACTTATCTATTTCTTTAGATGTTTACCTACATGCACGTTCTTCTTTACTTACTTATATAAGCATGTTTTCTTTAGGTATCTTATCCAAGTACCTTACATCGTTACTAAGTCTCCACTTCTCATGTGCGATGTGTGATTGTCTAATCTCTATCTCCTATCTTTTATCCTATTTTGATTCTTAATATCATTGTTAGGTGGGATATTTTACCATATCTTATTTTTCATCCTAATTTTATTATCGATATCATTGTTAGGTGTATGTTTTTACATATGATGTTTCGTCATCATTTCTTATCCTACTTTAATCCTTGATATCATTGTTAGGTGCTAATGTTTTATCATTTTTCTCACTTTAAGATGTAATGTTTTGTCATCCTAACATGTGTGTGCTTAATGTTTTATCTTCTACATGTTGATGTTTTTTCATCTATTGTGTGATGTCTTACTATCTCCTCTCTTATTGATTTAGGTTTCTACCTATGTGTTCTTGCTTGATGTTTTTTAATCTTTAATCATGATGTTTTATCAGTTTCTTATCTTGATGTTTTATCATCTCCTTTTCTTATTATTTCTCCATCTTCTTTGATCCTTGGTTAAGTACTTCATTACTAACCAACATGGTGATATATGAGAAGCTATATTCCATTTGCGCCTTGAGCATCACTACCCAGTGATTGCCGCATGAGTTTTTATGCCATGTCCCATGAGTGTACCTTGATGTTGGCCATATCCCATTACATTTAAGATCATTACCTTTGATTTATTTAAATCATGCTGCTTTTACACATCAAGGGACTATACTTTGCCATATATAATGACACTTTAGTATGTTATCTTGTTGACATTACTTGAATCTTTAAGTTCACGATTGATGTCTTGCGAGGATATCATCATCACCCCCATGATATACAAGATGTCATTGCACTTTTACTTGAGCTTTATGAATTTCATTTGATTTAAGACAAGTATTATCCATCTTAGATGATTCTGTTCATCAATTAGGTGACTTTTCTTTTATAGGAAGTTTCATATTCTTACTTGGTTGCTCTTGAGTCTCATCTCGAGGTAACTTACTATACAAGTCACACATGGCATAATTCTCCAATTACGCTCTCTCTTGTTTTGATATTTACTTATTAAATTGAACAATATTTCTTGCCTTCTTTGGCCATTCCCTTTGTATGCTTTGTATGTTCCCTTTGCCCCGTGACTTGAATGTTTATTGATGTGTTGATTTTTATTCTCGATATGTGGATTTTTTGCCATCTCTTATATGTGTTCTATCCTACTTTGATCCTTGATATCATTATTAGGTGTTGATGCTTCACCATCTCATTTCTATTCCTGATTATTGCTTAGGAGTCTATCTTGGATGTTTGCTCCTCTGATGTTTTATGATCTTTGTGATGTTTTGTCATCCATGCCTAATGTTTTATCATCTTTGCAATGTTTTGTCATCCATGCCTGATGTTTTATCATCTTTGTGATGTTTTGTCATCCATGTCTGATGTTTTATCATCTTTGCGATGTTTTGTCATCCATTCCTGATATTTTTATCATATTTGCGATGTTTTGTCGTCCATGCCTGATGTTTTATCATCTTTGTGATGTTTTGTCATCCATGCATGATATTTTATCATCTTTGCGATATTTTATCATTCATGCTTGATGTTTTATCATCTTTGTGATGTTTTATCATCCCTGCCTGATGTTTTATCATTCTTCTCTTTTCTTAGAGACTCAATGTTTTGTCATCTTCTTAATGTTTTATTATATTTGTGATGTTTTATCATCTTTGTGGCTTTTTATCGTCTTTGTGATGTTTTATCATCTTTGTGATGTTTTGTCATCTTTGTGTGTGATGTTTTGTCATCCCTCTCCCTTATTTATTAGATTCTCCTCTTGTATGCTCCCCATAGGATCTTTAGTTCACTCTTCTCTATGTTTGGACTAACTAGACCTTAGGACCTTTATCCATTCATGACAACATTAGGTAGATGTTTCCCTCGTATCCTCAACTATAGGATCAACATTGCATGACAAAATTTGGGCTATTTTA